TCCTTCCTTCCTTCCTTCCTTCCTTCCTTCCTTCTTTTTCTCTTTCTTTTTCTTTCTCTCTCTTTTTCTCTTTTTCTTTCTTTCTTTTACTTGTATAGACATATTTAAATATTAGCTAAAATATAAATTATATAGATGTTTAGCTTTGTTGTCTTGATTTTTTTTAATACAGCATTTCTCCTAGATTTCATTATTTCCTATGGAATAAGATATAGGATGTGAAAGATACACAGCTGTGAGCTAGAATTCTTTTGTGGCACCCAATTTTTGCTATATATTACTGATTTACTTCTAAGGAAAAAAGTGAATTGAGAAGTCTTCCCCATATTCTTTGACAGAACCCAAATACCTCTTCTTTATTTTATTCATTCTTGGATTATTTATCTTTCAAGATGGTTAAAAATGTGTTTTTAAAAGGCAAGGTTCTTTTTTCTTTTACAATTTCTGTTCTATCGCCAGTAAAGAGACTCGCAGACCGGAGTTGAATTCAACTCTTTTAATAATAACAAGTAACTTCAACTGCAGTCAAGCCGCGGCAGCCCTTTTTATAGCGGCTGCTCGCGGCTCGCAACCAATGGCATTTATTTAAACTTCCCGCCGCTTTAGGTGGCCAATCCAATACTGACAATATTAACCAATCCTTTCGTTGCATTAACTAACCAATAGGAACATCGACTTAGAAGTCTCTATTTGAATACACTACAATTTCTATCCTGTATTTTTACTTTAAAAGGATTTGTTAAAAATACTGAATTAGGGACATGTGATTGACCATGTAAATATGATCTCCTGAGTTGCTTATCTCTTTCTTTGCCTCTACTAGGTCTCAAACAGAGGCCAATCCTTGAGCACCCTGGGCTCTGCCTTCCTCTACCTCATGTGGCCGTATGAAATTTCAAATGGAAAATGGCTTCTTTATCCCCTTAAGATGGAGTTATTGAGCCATTCCCAGCATCGTTCAACCTGCACCCCTAATCCCAACCCCCTGAGCCTGACTCTGGTAAGTACCATGGATTCAGATAAGCAACAGGATACAATGTCTAGTAAAAATAGCGGACATCCTCCTTTTACTTTTAAGAGCAAATATATTTAGGGGTGCCAAGTTCCAGATACTCTCCATTATTTATAATATAGAAAGCACCCTTTCAAATATTGGCTGTTTCTTTTTGCGAATATATTTGCTTTCCCTACCACAGAGGCTTCATATTCAGGGCATACATCTGCAAAAGGGAAATGTCATTTATGTAGAAATATTCATGGTTCCAAAATTATTGTTGTAACTCAATTGAATACATTCATTATCAGAAACTTAAATATATCTCAGTTGTACACTGTTTTAAAAAGGACAATCCATTTCATTTTCAATTAGAATTCTGCCCATTGCATATTTTCTTTATGGAATAGCTAGATCTAGTCCATTCCTGCAGCCCATGGAAGAATTTCAGATCCCCTCGGCTTCATCTGCTTGCATCCTTTCCAGCCATTGTTTACTTTCTTGGGAAGCTGGCAGAAATGATTGCAAATGGCGATCACATGATTGTGGAGCACTTGGCAACCAGTTGTATATGTGAGCCAGTTGCCAAGAACCCAAAATTAGCTCATGTAACAGAGGAGGGAGCGGCAATATTTTATGGGCCATAAATCACTTTTCTGAGGTCCTTGTAAGTTTGAATAGTCTTAAATGACCGATCATACATCAAGTAGTGGCTGTAGTGTAATATTAGCACAACAATGGTTGAATGATGATAGAAGAAGTTATAAATCACTAATGGGGAAATAACTGTAAGATCCATTAAAAACATTAATACGCATTTATTGATTTGCTTATTTGTTTCTTTCAGGAACTTTTATAACTTTCAGCCCCTGAACCTCTCAAAACAGCTTATGTACCAGCAATAAAAATGACAGGCTAACAAACTGAAGAAGATATGACCAAAAGAAAATGGGAGGGGAAAAAGGAAGAGGGAAGGGGGGAAAAGCCAATCCAGGAACTAATCCTTGTCTTTTTGCAAACCAGTTATCTGCAAATTCGTTTTGTTTTGTTGAGAACAGAAAATAGCAAATGTTTGCAGTGTCCCTCATCCAATGTTGTTGTTTTTCAGGAACCACCTCCTCGAGGAAGGAAGAAACGTGAGACTGAGCAGGCAGAAATGTCCAGCCCATCACTGACTTATTGGAAAGGACGAAAAAATGCTACCTTAGTAAGTGAAGTTCGCTGCTTGTCAGGACCATGTGTATTCAACACCATCTCTGTGAAAATGCCCTGAAAGCAGTGAAACTGCTCTGCATGACATTTAGTGTCTCTTTGGTCTACTGGGAAGTAGTGGCAAAGATACAGGAAATCTGCTAAAGATGACAAAACTCTGATTTTCTGAAAAAAGAGTCTTCAGAAGTTAGACTTAGAAGCGAAATCATGGGAGTTTCAAAAAATTACATATAAATACAGCTGATCTGCCTTTTACAGTGACTTTACAGGTGGCTTACAGCATAATAAAAAGATAAAACAATTAAAAATTAAGAAAAAATAAAACTTGGGTCTGTTGGCTGGCCAGAGCCCTGATTGGTGCACTCTATGCTGGTGTGGCTGATGGGATAGAGAGAAGATTCCCAGGGCTAAAAAACAACAACCCAAGAGGACAGGCAACATGGGGATGGGGATCTTCTCTCTATCCCATCAGCCACCAGCATAGAAATGCACCAATCAGGGCTCTGGCCAGCCAACAGAGCCAAGTTTTAAGGCTGTTATAGAAGGCCAGGAGCAGGGGAGCTTCCCTCAGCTTGGACAAAAGAATATTCCAAAGGGTGGAGGTCACAGCGGAAAAGTCTGTTCTCCTGGACCCTGCCAGCCAAAATTCTTTGGCAGATGGGATCCAAACTAGGCTTCTTTTGCTGGAGCAAGTGGGATGGCTCCTGAAATACCCCTGAAACCATGCCATAAAGGGCTTTAAAGGTGATAACCAATATCTTGAACTGGGCTGGAAGCAGACTAGCAACTAGTGTAGTTTGTTCAACAGAGATATTACATGTGCCATCCAAGGGGCCTTCAGAACTGTCTGCGCAGCATTCTGTAAGAGCCATGGTGGCCCAATGGTTAGAATGCAGTATTGCAGACTAACTTCCACTGCTAGCTCCAGGAGTTTGATTCCCACTGGCTCAAAGTTGACTCAGCCTTCCGTCCTTCTGAGGTCGGTAAAATGAGGACCCAGATTGTTGGGGGCAATATGGTAACTGTGTAAACTGCTTAGAGAGGGCTGTGAAGCACTATGAAGCAGTATATAAGTAAGCACTGTTGCTATTGCTGTACTGGTTGTAGCTTCTGAATATGCTTCAAGGGTAGCCCAGTGCAGAGGATCATACAGAGGGCTATGTCATCTGTGGCTATTGCAAAAATCAAACTCCTCCCTCCTTATTACTCAAATTTTCTGGTCGAAGGCTTTGAACAGATATTGTCAGCTACAGCTTCAACACAATTAACATGTTTTTCTCTAGTCCTGGAATTGGCAGAAAAATATTCTGACAAAACATGTGCTGCCCCAATGACCAAAATGCAGTCTACTTGAATAATGAAGATTGCAATTAGTCTGATCCTTAAGCTTAATGAGGGACAGTTTACGGGCAGCAGTTGGTGATTTTCTTGATTTCATTTATTCTCCCATCCAGCATCATCTTCCAGCAGAATAATAATGACCACCAATTACTGTCTTTAATTTGTGGTGTAGGTGGGATTGGGCAACTCCAAGTAGATGCCCAGGATAGAGAATTTTAGTAACTTTAAAGTTGCTGGAGTGACAGCTTGGTGGTGTGGAAGTGCTCCATGCCAGTAACCTGTCACTTCTGAATATGGTTCTTTTGTTCTTCTACAAGAGGAGTAAAACTGTGTGTAGTAAGATTATGATTGACAGATTGCTGAGGTGGAGGGTGGGTGGGATAACATAGGAGGCACTTTTCCAGTGCATTGGGAGAAGCTCATTTCTGCTTAACTCACATCCCTGTTCCGACTCATAAACCAATAAGGCAGGCAGAATTGTTTTTATTTTTTCCAGATTGGTTCTGTCTCCAGAGAGAATTAGTTCTTTAATGAATAAAAAAGACCAGCGATGTTTCAGAAAAGAATCAAGCTTGTATTTTGAAATGAGGTGATCTTCCAGAAGAATTTTAAACCCATTCATATAAGGAGTTTGCATAATGCCTGAATGGCACTTTGCTGGATGGGTATTAGGGAAACAAATACTTATGTGGAAATCAGGCATTACTACACAGTCTAAGTCTCAATGGTCATGGAGGCAGTGTCCATACAGAAAGAGACATAGCCACAGCAGTCTAAAGTAGACAACGGGAATTGGGCAGATCTTGACCACACCATTAAATATTTTTTTTAATTTATCTCCAAAATTAAAATTACAAAATAGAAAGAAAAAACCCACCTGTTTTGGTTTTTTTTGGACCACATAATGGTTGATATTGTGAAAAAAGGCATGATGGATAGTTCCTGTGGGGAAGTCTTGGGTTGGGGAAGGGGGAAAAACACTAACAGAACAGCTGAAGAGAAAGCTAAACTGCCTCCATGGTAAGCCTACCATGTGGGATGAGTTGAAGGTGAGATCATGAGCTTGTGATCTCTCAAAATGGTGACCAAGATATCTTTGTTACTGGAACATAACGAGGAACTCCTGGGATCCATGAAGTCTGTAAACTTATTTTTTTCTGAAACTAAAAACATTCAGGAATTGAATGACTTCAAGTCAGAAATGGGCAACCTTTGGTGGCCAAGGACTGATTTTTTGGGGGGTGGGGTGGGGGAGACAATTGATAAGAATGAGTTAGGAGAATGGGAATGTATTGTTATAGAAATAGCTACTTTATATTATTATATAAAATTAATAAGTTGAGGTTTATGCTATTACCTCCTACTGCACCAAAAGGAGTAGGAAGTCAACTCTTTTTCCCTTCTGCCCTATACTTTGCCCTTCCCTTTTTCCCTTCCTTATTTTCTTCTTTCTTTTTATATTTATTTTGTATTTTGATAAACTAATAATTATTTTTTGAAAATAAAAAAGGAGAATGGGAATGTATGTGTCTAAATCTGTCTAATTCTGACTTACCCTGACATTTCCATCTATTATCTACGTTGTTACAGATAATTATCAGGTCAAATTTCAGAAATCATAGCCAAAAGGGGCTCCAAGGGCTATGAAAGGGGTCCAGGTGGGCCACCCCTGCATTAAGTGAATCATGGGCTAATAAACAGGCTATTGTGATTACAGTCAGAAAGTGTCAGGAAAGGGGGATGGTCAGCACTGCAAAGCTATTCCAGTGAAGTGCCTTTTATAGAAAACACTGCCATAATGGGAGAAGGATATCTCTGCTGTAGATGAGACTGTCAGATAGTCTTTTCCTTCCTGACCCTAATCACATTTCACATCAGTCACATTTCCCCTTCCTTCCTGCTTCAGGACTGTGTGTTAGGCACTGCTCGATGTCTGCTATACAAATGCCCCCTCTACAGTTTTGAGCGTTCAGCTGTGCTTACCATCTGGGCCCGTCTCTGGAACAGCACCTTCCTGGAGGTCAGTGTGACTCCCCCTGTTGGATGTTAGAAGAACAGAATCACATGTAAACTGACAAGACCCAAAGGGCATTTCCTCAAGGCCAGTTAACATCCACTTGTCCTGTTCTTGAATTGAAGAAAAATATATTTAACGTACGGTATTAATGTATTTTTGGTGATCCGTGACCAAACTTTATTGAGCCTCAGCAGTAAAGCTAGGAAGTACTGCTGTCCTTGCTGACATAATGCAAAATAATTTCAAGTGTTGGCAGGTTTATTTCCCAGTGTCTTTTTCTCTCCCACCCAATATCTACTGATGGGGAAAGGAATCATCAGTCGCTCCTCACAATACCCTCATGGGAGCTGAGGTAGCACTGTTTACACTGTGGCTTGCAGTCCTGAACCCCAGGGTTTTGGAACGCCATATCACATAGGAAGGGATACAGTCTTTGTGACGTTATAACTAAGAGACTGTATTGTTCCCTGCAGGGTACTTGGATGGCTTATGACTATGCTGAACCCTGTTCCTTTTCTTCCTAGGAATTTGCTCATATGACATCCGTGGAAGTGATTGTTCGTGCCAACATCTCAGTGAGCTCCACTATTCGCAACCTGGTCCTGAGAGATGCTACGACCCAGGTGGTGTAGCCTTACCACAACTCATTTCCCCTTTGTTTCCCTTATGTAATATATAAAAAAATTGCAGCTCTTTAGGATCATTTCATCCCACCTGTTGTCCTCCAAATGTCTTGGACTTCCATTTGGATAATTTCCAGCTAATAAGGTAAAACAGTATGCTGACTGAAGCTCATGGGAACTGAAGTAACACACGTCTGGAGCTGCAAAAAGTTTATGGTGTCCATTTCCTGCCTTCCTGGACCATTTACTACTGCTGAATTAGAGAAGAGAGGGATGTTACTGAAATAATTTAAGTGCCAGATTTTGGAGAAGGCCTCACAAGTCATTGATGCCCATTAAAACAACAAGAAAGGGGCTCTGAGGCCAAAAGTGAAGGTGACCAAATCAGCCTCTTTTTTAAAATAAATTTTTTATTTTTAATACAATTATTCCATCTTCAGTTGAAGAGTGTGTTGTCTGGGTACAAATATCTTTGTTAAACAATAATCAAAATTACAACATCCTTTGTTAAATTAATATTGATTCTGCAATCTTTAACATAATAATATTCCACATATTAATTCTACAATATAACCTTAATAATATTCAACATACTATTCATAATATTTACTTATCTCTTTTAGCATATCTTCTTTATTTTGTTTTCCTATTTCTAACTTCCATTTTTATTATTTTAACCATTGGTAAAATAGATCCCAAGCCATATAGTGTTCAGTTTGCTCTTTCTCCTTAATTGGCAGCATTAATCTATTCATTTCTGCACATTCTAATATTTTCCTAATCCCATTCTCATCTTTAGGTATCTCTTCACTCTTCCAATTTTGTGCAAATACAATTCTGGCAGCAGTTAATAGATGAATAATTAAATATGCATTTTCCTTACTGCTGAATCAGCCTCTTCAATGAGCTATGAGATTTCATATGTAACAGCAGAGCAGAACTTCTGTGAACAGCAGTGTAACCTCTACTCCCTCTTGCATGTTTCGAGTTTGCTCTCTCACTTTCCGCAATGTCTCTTCCCCAGATCCCAGTGACTGTCTACCTGGATCCTGTTGTGCCCCTGACACGAGGTGTGCCCTGGTGGATTATCCTCATTGCAGTACTAGCTGGAATCCTAGTGCTGGGCCTGCTAGTCTCCATCTTATGGAAGGTAAGCTGGCCAGAGAAAGAGCCAGGGGTGGCTGCTGAGAGGGCTTCCTCTCCCTTTACAACCTTGATACCAAGGCAAATTTTATCTACAAACATACATGCATGCGTGCATTTTAAGTGCTTCTATGTCCCTCCAGTTGAACTGATAGTTCCAAGTTACATGATATCCCAAAGCCACCATAACTGCTGTCTAACAGTATCTTCAGTTTCATGGTGATAATTTCTACTGTAACAATCCATTCCCTAGAGGCCATTCTTTGTAGCTGAACTGTTCCAGTGATTACATCCTTCCAGAACAATTGCACTAGATCTGCTAGGATTCACGGTGTCTGCTAAGGAAAGAAGTATCTGTTGACGGGAGCCTCAAAATTCCCTTTCGGAGCTTGGTGGGGAGATAATATCCAATTGAATGCATCCATGAACCCTGATGGGCATTTAAAGGAAGGCTTCATCTTGTGGAGCAGAAGCATAGCAACAAGCCTGCTAATACTCTTCCTACTTCTCCCAATTCCCAGTGTGGCTTCTTCAAGAGGACCAGCCAGGTCTCCAAATACTCCACAAACTATTATCGGGCCCGGCTGGCGATACAGCCATCAGATGCAGACAGGCAGGCCATGGAGGCCTAGTGGTAATGCCTGGCCTCACCTACCTAACTGACCCTCCCCCTGTATGTGTATTGGAGTGTGTGAGAGCACCGATGACCCAGAAATAGCAAGCAGTGGAATGTGGTTCCTGTAAGCTCCCTAAGAGTACTAATGCATGTTGTGTTCACAAACAGCAACCCCACTGTCTGTGTCCCCAAGCAGATAGGGAAGCATGTCTGCAGGACTGGGCAGATCCTAACAGATATGAGAGTTTAACAGTCCTTGTCTGCATGTGCTATTGCTCTGTGGGATGCAAAAATATTAAAGGTCACACAGTTGTAACTCACAGTTGTGTTACATCGTGTAATACAATGCAATTCAATATTGAATGCCATACAATTAACACATGCATTATTAAGGGCATTGTGAACAGTTGGCAAAGCCTAGAAACTTGGCAGGCATTGGCAAGATGTGTATATGCACAACACAATTCTGAATCTATTGGGGGGCATGAAAGGTGTATTTATAAAGCTTGAAGAACATTAGTTCCAATAGAAGAGAATATTTAACAGAATAACAGAAGGGCCCTTGGAAGTCTTCTAGCCCAATCCCCTGCTCAGACAGGAAAGCCTATAACATTTCACACAATTGGTTGTCCAATCTCTCCTTAAAAGCTTCCACTGTCGGAGCACCCACGTTCTGGAAGCAAGTTATTCCACTGATTCATTGTTCTCACTGTCAAGAAATTCCTCCTTAGTTCTGGGTTGCTTCTCTCCTTGATTAGTTTCCATCCATTGCTTCTTGTCCTGCCTTCAGGTGCTTTGGAGAATAGGTTAACTCCCTCTTCTTTATGGCGACCACTTAGCTATTGGACCACTGCTATCATGCCATCCCTAGCCCTTCTTTTCATTATACTAGACATACCCAATTTGTAGCTCGGGGTTGAACTGTGGAGTCCTTGGTGCTCTCTCAGCTTGTTTTTGTGCAGATGTTTCATCACCTGGCTAACATCTTCAGTGTGGAAGAGACTGGGTTTTGTTCTTTCTTTATATACAGTAGCTTGCTGTGTCAGTGTTAGTGGGGGGTAATGTTTTCTCCTTGGTAGTTCCTTGATTGAGTTGTTGTCTACTGCTTGTTTGTCTGAGTTGGTAGTTCCTTGATGAGAATATTGTTTATTGCTTGCTTGCTTGTTTGGTGTTAATCTGTGTTAACATTAGTATTATTTCAATGTTTGTTCATAAGTCACATTAAAGGATATACTTTTTGGGCTGGATAGATGGGTGGAGCAGGACTAATGATTTGGGGCTTCAGTTGAAACCCTTCTGAATGGGACTAAAGAACAAATGGGTAACTGTGAATACAGCCCTACCCATCAAGCGTTGAGTTGTTGCATGGTGAGAAAGAACATGAAAGATGCCTAGGAATGTTGACAGTATATAAGGATACATTTTTCCAGTGGATGGGAGCAACTCATCTAATCCAGCTCTATCTACATTCTTGCCACCATCTGTAAAATGATGTGCATTTGATCTGGCTGATTTTTCATAAGAGCTGCAGGACTCTGCTGGGCAGGAAAAAAATGTAGTTCCCCATAATTCTAGTTATTAATGAAGTTACACTAAAATACAAAAACTGGGATATGGGATTCAGCATCTAGTTGTGTGCTGGAGAGCATACACGAGGGGATCTGAATATCATTGCAAGAGGACAAGTTTAAGTTGAGTGAATCCTCCTGTCTATACATGTGTCAGAGAGCTTGATAATAGATCTGTCTTCTACACTCATCCTTTAAAGTCACCTTCCCTTATTTGCAATCCAAACTTGAAATCTGATTTTTAAAAATACCCTTTAATAATATTTATTAGAATGATTAAGATTAGAATGCAAGTACTCTTATTTTTAAATAGGGCATCTATATATAGACAATTTAGAGCAGTAAAACATTTGTCCATTTCCTCATTGTTTTGATGAAGGTGGGTGGAAGCTTCTCCTTTTGTTTTTTTTTTGAGGGCAGGACAATATCTGTTCCTTATTTTTCTTAGTGTGAAAAATAACCCACCCACTTCCCCTTCCAGTGTATTGGACTTCTGTTCTCAGGATTTTTCCAGAAGTTGACGGAGGTTTGTGACAGAGTTGGAAGTCCCAACACAACTTGAGTGTCCCAAAAGCTCTATGTGCTAAATGTTCTAAATCAGCCACACTGGCTGAGGAACTCTGGGAGTTGAAATCCACAAGTCTTAAAGTTGCCAAGGTTGGAGACCCCTGTTCTAAATGCATGGTATGCACTGAGCGTTTCCATCCCGCTAGGTGAAGTGTGAATAGGTGCTGGAGTTAACCCATGGCAGTTGATAGGTGGAGCTTATGGCTTAACAGCCGAACTCAAGAACCCCATCTCCTAGCATTCACGTGGTAATGGAGGGCAATGCTAACTTCTTTGAATTCACAAAATGGCTTCCTCTCTTCCAGCTTGGCTTCTTCAAACGTGCCCACTACGAGAAAGCCAAGCTACCCCAGTACCATGCGATCAAGATTCCCCGCCAGGAACGCCAGCTTTTTCATGAGGAGAAGATAGGCACCATCACCAAGAAAGACTGGGTCACTAGCTGGAGTGGAGACAATGATGGCCATGTTCCCGTTTCAACCTAATTACTTCCCTCTTCTTGCACGTTCTTCTTGCATGGAGACTGCTTCTTAAGGAGAGACCTTTTAGTGGCACCAGCCGAGCTCACTGGAGCTGTGCTCTTGGCGTCCTTTCCTCTCTGAGTGTTGTGCAGGCACTGGATGACTCTTTCAGGGGAGGTACAACAAACACTTGGGGGAACTGATGCTTAACGGTGGAGGTTGAGCTGATGGATATGACAAGGCCAAACCTTTGAAGAGTTTTTACTTCCAGGGATTTTGAATTTTCTTGTAAAGCTGAGCAGTATCTGATGAGAAAAAAAGAGCCAGCATCTGTCTGAAGAAATGCTTTCTTGGTCATCAGCCAGGGCCAAAAGACCAATGAACTGTGTACCCTGATGTTGAGAGCTGGAACGGCATCTACCTTTGAGTATGTGGGCCATCAAGTCAACCTTGACTCTAAGGACAAGTCCCCACAGTTTTCTTGGCAACATTTTCAGCAGTGGCTTACCGGTACCAGGGGTGGGTTTCTACTGGTTCTGCTCACCTCTGTAGAACCGGTAGCTCTGAAGAACAGCAGACATAGAACCGGATCTATGTCTGCTGATGTTTTTGCCCACCCGGGCTCTTACCTGACCTTTATTTCCTGCTTTTTTCAACTTCAGCTGACGTGCGAATGCAGGGAAGCACATCGTAAATCACCGAACCTCGTAAATCACCGAACTGGTAGTTAACCCTGTCGGATCCCACCCCTGACCAGTACCATTTTTCTACAGCCGGGGACACCACTGCAAGAACAGCAGGAATATGCTGCAGGATCTGGTCCTTTGAAACTGAGGATAACATGGGTTGCTTGAGCAGCATACAGGGCCTCAAAGCCTTTCTCTGTGTGTATGTGTGGTTGTATGTATGTGTGTGTGTGTGCATGTGCAGATGCATGTGCATGCAGAGGATGAGAGAGACAGAAACTGCCTTCTTCTGAGCATGATTGCTGCCTTCCTGCCATCTTTTTAGTAGTTTTCATTGTCTTAATTCATATTAGAAGCACTAGTAGCATATTCAGTTGAATGTGGCTTTCAGTATCAAAGGTTCTTATTACTATGTTTAAAGACAACACCAAAGTATCTCTTAGTTGCTTGTCTTCTTCCCTGAAAAAAGACAAGATTCCAGAGGCCCATCCCTATCCAATCATAACAGATCTGGTTTCTATCTCTGTTATGAACAAACACACATATGTACACATCTCTCTACCCATTGATTCCCTCCCTCCCTTCCCCTTTTTTTCCTTCCTTCCTTCCTTCCTTCCTTCCTTCCCCTCCCCCCTCCCCTCCCCTCCCCTTCCTTTCAGAACACAGCAACCTACCTCATCAGCTTACTGTGAGGCTAGAGCTGATAAGCAATACTTATCAGAAAGGTCAGATGAATTTTGAATAGCAGAACTAACCAAGTTCAAAGGAAAGTCATACCCAAAAAATAAAGCCCAATTCCAGCAATTACTATGCTTGCTCATCTGCACTGTCTGGCCTTTATGCTTAATGGAGATGCAAATCTATTTTTATGCCACAAAAACAAACAAACAATAAAGTTCAAAGAAGAATGCTGCATGTGATAGAGGCTGGCTTCTCATCAAAACTATTAAATGGCTTCTCTACTTTAGAATCCTGGCGTGTAATTTTATGACAGATAAATCTTTAGAGGCTATTTTTCATTGAGGCATTATATTATCCAAGTCACCATTCACTCATAACACTAAATCAACATGGTGTGATTTTGGTTTAACAGGACGTGTGAACTAGTCCATGATAGCTGTGCATTATATGCAAACAGTGCTATTGTTTGCTTGTTCAACAAACGGTGCTTTAAGAAATCTATGTTAGTTTTATATTTTTTTAAGCAGCTGCTGTTTCTTACTCCAGGGGACAAAAAAAGCTCTGAGGTCAGCTTTGATTTTATTGATAGGATTATCTCAGATGCTTTCCTCAAGTTTCTGTTCTGATGACATTTGTTCTTAATCACAACATCAAAATGATGAAATGTGCATCATGATATGATAATGTAAGCTCTTCCCTTTCATACTTGCATCATGATGCCACACAGAAACACATAAGGGGTGCAATTTGTATTATAATGGTGAGGCATGAGTTTTGACAATTGCTCCTCTTTACAATTTTTAATGAAGGTGCTTACTGTCCTGTGTGTACCATTCAGGAAAATAAGCATCTTCTTAGGGTACCAAGGAAAAGAGGTACCCCAGTTTCACACACACATACCCCCAGCTATCATGCCTTTAATTCTTTCATTGCCATGGTCAAATTTAGTTTTTGGCACATTGAGTCTTGTCACTTAAGCTCTGGAAGGGCTGAAGGATATCATTGTTGGCCTGTGCTCAGCACATCTGGGTGCCTATAGAATTGTGACAATTTCCTTTCAGAATTACCCTTTATGGTTTGCATGTATGAAACAAGTTTCTCACCCTCATTTTCTTCTTAAAAGACATATTAGCAGAAACATAATGTTTGTGCACAAACATACACTATATAGAAACTGGTCTTTGCTTAATAGGGACAGCGATCAGAACACAACGGTGGCAAAAACAGTGTTTCAAAAAAATTGAAGCATTTCTCAAATCATCTATATGGCACATTGCAGACAGATCCAAAGTAAGCACCTGCAATAAACCCAGTACACCTAAGCACTAGTTGTATTCTTGGGTACAGCAAAACCCATCAACAATCCTGTGAAAATTGAAAAGTTATGGTGTATGCTATTCAATAAATGAAAGATTATACCCCAATAAACCTGTTTTTAAGGTGCTATGAAATGTATTGTTGTTGCAGTCAGGGCTATAATCACAATCAAATTCAGAAAGTTCTGATATAGTATGGTCATCAGTTACCCTGCAGTGGAAGTAGCTTCTACATTTAGATCGAGTCTCCAGCTGGTATAAGTTTGGAAGAGTTCTCCATTGGAGAAGATGATAGTTAAAGGGAAGGTGTGCTGTCCAGCCAGTGTATGGGAATTGGATAGTTAATTAGCAATTGTGAGCTGTCCCCTTAAGGGAATGCATCATGGTAAATGTAGTTAAGGTATCCTGGGAAATGTAGTCCATGTCACGTGACCACATCTGTAATCCTGATTGGTCACTAAATTGACCCTTGCTGGGTTGGGGGAGGTTTCCTCACTCTTGGCTGAACTCACGGACTCGTGGTAACTGTTCTACTTCTATCGCTACAAGATGGGAGAAAAAGGATAGGAGATAACCATATTTTTACCTACAAGACAGATATGCAAAGGATTGGTCATTAAAGAACTTCACCATAAATGTGAGTTATGAGGATACCTGATGAACCAATAATAAAAACTTTGTATGGATGTTTTGTTGAGTTTATCTATCTGCATCTATACAGAAGACAAAATCTACCACTGTACAGAATACAGAACAGTAAAAAGATAGTTATCTCCTATCCTTTTTCTCCCATCTCATAGCAGTAAAAGTAGAACAGTTACCACGAGTATGGTATAGTATATATATATAGTATAGGGAGATTCAGTTACCCATACTTCCATCAGGAACAGATTGATTAAGGTTGCATCCATTTGACAATTTGCAGGTGCCATATTGCCTGAAGGATAATGTTTCCAAAGGATTTCACATACATATACTCACGTATCACATTTTCCATTTTCCAGTGAATAGTAAACTCTTTATATTTCAGAATTCATATATGGATCTCCAGCATTTATCTGCTGTTAGTGTAGCAGCAAAATCAAAATGCGTAACCTGAATCGGGAATAAGGAACAATGTGTTGACTGCAAGGGATTTGCAACATTGTTTTTTTAACCTCTTTTCCATAGTAGCAAATAGAAAGTCTGTAATTACATTTTTGTCCTTTATTAAAATAACTAATCCATGTCTATCTGTCATATACCAGTTCATTTAGATTCCCCTAGTTATAAATCTAAGGAAAATCTAACAAGCATAAAAATGCTGTATAAAACAATAAGGCTTTGGTTGTGCCAATTTTCACTATTCTGCAATATCCTGTTGTTCAGAGGACGTAAAAACATACTTTAACTTTGATTTCACCAAACGAGCGAGCAACTGTAATAGCAAAAAATGACACTGCTCTCAACCCTACTGTCCACCACCAGGAAAAAAAAAACTCCTAAGAATAATTCCCATGGAAGCATTTGGGAAGAAGAGAACTAATTTCAAAATATTTGCAGTGCTCAACCTAATAAGCTCACTAGATTTAAATACAATGCAGATGGGAAAAAAACTTTGGTGCTAAAGATGTTGCTTTACGTGAGCATTGTAGGAAGGGAATCATATCAGTTTATGGCAGCAAATAAAGGTTTCATAGCACCTTTTCCATCTATTGCATTTTGTTAAAATAAATGTGTTCTGACCCAAGCCTCATTCAAATAAAATAAACACAAAGTATACATAAAAGCAAACCTTTTTAATGTGTTTCTGTGAATTCTGTTCATTCACAGCAAAGAGTCATTAAAGCTAATCGTTCCAGATAAGAGCAAGCCCTTTCAAGGTTGTTGAAAGGCTGCCAAGAACACAAGATTAATTGCAGGGAAATATGCAAAACCAAAAGTCTCCGAAAACAAACCAGAATAGACAGGACTTCCACAAGAACTTGGAGTTGAAAGAACTTCTTTGCTTCCTGCAAAGAACCCAACCCCTGAGGGCTGGCTTTTATCCCTTATGGGAGGGGCCATCACCTTGCAGCCTTACTCCCAAGTCACCTGTGCTGCTCCAGCTGCTCTTTTCTTTGAGCAGCCCTGTGTGCACACACACTGGGCACAGATTCCTCGGGGTCCTCTGCATCACTGCTGCCAGACTCCACAAGCTCCAAAGGCAGCACCCCACTCTCCAATAGTCCTGGCCCCATCCCTGCATCACATGCAGGCCCCTCATTCGAGTCCTCGCTCTCAGAGACCTCAGCCGTCCACACCTGCTGCCAGCAAACCACAACAAAATGCCATAAAAAATTTTTTAGGTGAAAAAGGTATTCCCAGATTCCTTCTGACTCTGTGAAGTGTTATGAACATTCCTGAACATAGTTCAAGAAGCTATAATCTATTCAGAATATTTCAAGATGTTGCAATTAAGAGTTTAATGAGTGAGCAGGTGTGATTCCTTGCTGCTCATCTTGTCTAGCCATCACACCATGCAAGTCTATATATTCTTAAATCAGTCGTGTATATTCATAAATAACTGCACTTTGGTGCTTAGCCCTAAATAAAATTAGTTGCTATGGCATTATTAGCATCATGTATGTGGCATGTGGCTGAGAAGGAAGATAGTTAAAAGGCAGCGACATTAGTAGAGGGATTTAAGATCACACAGCTGGAAGGAGAGGCTCCTAAAGCTTCTAAAAAACCAGTCCTGGTCAGTGAATGTGGGAAAACAGGTAGAGCATCAGTTGTCTAAGGATTATGCTTTGAGAACCATCACTTGGTGCTTGGGTCTCAAACTGCTAACATTCTGGTCAACAAACCCAGTATCTTAACTGCTAGGCTAATATAATGTATATAATACATAATATAATGTAGAAAGAAGGATTATATCTATTTTGGTGATAGCACTAGATCTCTTTTCAAATTTATCAAGCGCACCTCTCTTTTACTATTATGGCACAGGAAGCAAAACTGTTGACAAGCTCATTATTGATGCTTTAGGATATCAACATCAGCATGACATCCCAACTCTGACAGCACAGCAGATGCACAGTTCAGGGATATAGAATCCACAACTTGTTCTTATCAACTGGGTTCATATAATTTTTATGTCAGCCGATTCTTTTAGCTGAAGAACAAACTATCACTCCCACAGTTGGCTTTAACTTAATTAGTTTGAACATTAACCCTGGCAGTTATCACAGGATTAAACTTCTGCCCCCAATGTCAAGAAAAATAAGTAAAATGCCTGGTCTTTCATGAATCGATGAGTCAATGAATACCAATCCCTTTTATAGAGTGTAGACCTGGGAAAGGCTATAATTAAAAATCCAGATCTCTTAAAAAAAAAAGTGATGGCAACTTAGTGCAAAAATAGATTGTTCTTGCCATAGCTGCTTCTTCCAAATTGCTTGAGAAAATTCTATATAAGAAAAAGAGGACTATAATAGTTTTTAAAAAGCTGCAAGCTTTGAAGGTTTAATGGCAGCAGTCCTAAAGGATGCTGTGAAGAAATAAAAATTAAATCTCAGCAGCATATGGACAAGGCTATAAGCAAAATATTCTTCAGTGAATTACCTAGATTTTCAAAGAGAGAAAGATGAAATAAAATTATTTTAAAATGCTTTTTTAAAAGGCACCAACATTCATATATATGTACATTCACATACAGTACATACATACTTGTGTCAACAATTTAACTTCACTTTAGCTTGTACCATTCTATGGTCACTTCCGACATTAAAATGATTGATGACAGTACAATTGCAGAATATAGTTTTATCACTTGGCATGATGTAGTCAATTTCGCTTGTGTGTGTATATGTACACATATACATAAGAGACCTATTAAGCTGATGTCAGCTTTGCTGCTGCTGAGATAGTTAACAAATATTACATTTTAAAAAGTTGCGGTAGGCATTCAAATAAAATTGACTAATATGTTGAGTCTTGGCACAAAAAACCAGCTGGTGTGCACATCTGCAGTGAATTAGAGATCATGTTATAACTCTTATTCATAATAAATTATACCCATTTTTCATTAACAATAACACAAACAGCCAGAACATTTCTACTCCTGCTGTGGCATCAATATCCTTGCCACCATCTCTAATTGCTATATAGTACCACTGTATTTTTTTAAAAATAAAGATCAATTATAGATTAATCAAACAATAATTTTAAAAAAAGACTGACCCAAGGTGTTTTGGTGACTGAGATGTACCCAAATTACCACACCATGGGGACTGCTCCCAGGCTAAGCCACATCCACTTGTAATCTCTGGATGAATTGCAAAATCCTAGACTTTAACACAACCTTTTATAACACATGGCATAAAATGAATGTAACTCAGAATGACACTTATTGCTTAACAATCACAATTTCCAAGACTTAATGATCCATCTATACAGATGCTGTGATGGCTAATTATGTTTGTGCTATAAATATAAAGAGTTTGCTTCCAATTAGATAAGATAACCTTTATTTTTTTTGTGTGGGACTATGGCGTACATTAAAAATGAAGTTCTGTTGCCTGCTATCAAAAGTGTACACATACGTTACATACAGATATGCTATAAATATATATAGTACACATACACACTAACATATAAATTCATTCAAAATAATATTAATCACAATTATCCTAGAATCAGCCATTTCCTTCATCCAATGCCTGGACTGAGGTTTGGTGACTGTTTAATTCCAAATAATTAAACACTAACTAATGCAATGTCTTCTGGCATCCAACTGCTACTTTCTCAAGGAGTCCCAAAAGAGAGGCGAATGCCGCCCTGTTATTTCTCCTCTGCAACTAATATTCAAAGAGACAGAAACATGAGCTTCTGTTAACAATTGTACATCGCTGTCAAACCAAAAAGAGATTGGAATGGACTTATTTGATCCATCTTATTATAGCAATTCAAGCCACCGTCCTGTCTGCACTCTGTCCATCTTATTCCATATTTCCCCTACAAAACTGTGAAAATGATTTTTTAAAATCTAAATGTCTGTGGCAGAGCGAAACTTCATGCCAATCAGAAGGTGTGCAGGCACGTCAGGAAACGAATGATATAAACTGAAATCACGATGTCCGAAAAAGTCGAAAGCACTGGAACGGTGCCCTTAACCAAGATGGCCACTCTCCCCTCACGGCTCTCGGGCTAGGCGACAATAACCCGGAACTGATCTTTCGATTGTCTCATTTTTCCTTTTCTCTCATCGGAAGTTATTGGGATTTTTTTCTCGCGTCTCCGAGATGGACGTCGCAGAGAGGCGGGAGTCGTTGTTGTCGTTATCGTAACGATTGGGAATGGTGAGGTAATGCCGTTACAGACTTTATATAACACCTTGAGATCTATTGAGATTAAATAGAGAGAAAGAATAGCTTCGTTTCTTGGTTAGGAAACGAACGAGTGAGGCGGACGGAGGAGCGCATGCGCAAAAAAGTGACGGCAGTAGAACTGCGCAAGCGCCTTTCGCTTTTCTCCCCCCCCCCCCTTTCCTGTCGTTCTATGGGGCGAGATTCTGCCAGTCTGATTCGCTTGGGCTGATTGGAATCGCCTTGTTTGCATGGTTTCATTAATTGGGCATCGTTCTGCTTTTTCTTCTTCCTTCTTTTGAGGCAGTTGTTTCGTCCTCTAAATACGCTGGATCACAAATTTCCATAAGGCCAAACTTCTGGAAGGCATTAAACTATGTCAAATCTTGAACAAGATTCTTTACTTTGCGATTTCTGTTTTGGTCATACCACTTTCCTTTTACTTTCCAATAAAGGAAATCCTCCCAATGAATCACTATAATCTTTGATCACATTAGACTTAGAAGAACTTTATTGTCACTTTGAATGTGCACTAATCGGCATACGTTAAAATGAAATTTTGTTGCCTACAGCTCTCAAATAAATCGATGTTTGACACATCTGGAGGGCTCCAGGTTAAAGAAGGCTGCGGCAATATAAAAAATGAGAGTTACCCAAAACTAGATCAGTGTATTTGAAGTTCTGAGCAACGATGATGACGAAGCATTGTACCACACTATCATATTTACTTGTTTATTTTGTCTTATTTCTTTTAAGTCATGGAATGAAGCAGCGGCTTACGTAGGGCTGGGATCTGTTATTTCTTTTAATCCAGAATTGGAATAGTGTCATGTTAGTAATTTTACTTTGTACCTCGAAAGAAGCAGCTGTGACAGCACTCTTAAACCACTTTGGGCCTGAATATTGTATCATTTTATTCGGTGTTATATTGATATCCTAGTTTTCTTCTGGGAGTTACAGCAGAGTGTAACAGGATGGGAGACTATCCAGAAATCCCAGAGTTGTAGAACTTAAATAGGCAACACCAAACCTTTTCTGTATTCCTACCAAGGAAATACTGTGTTTCTCACATAATAAGGCCGGGCCTTATTTTTTTTTGACCCCCGAAAAACCGGCTAGGCCGTCTTTTCGGGGGTGACTTAATTCCCCCCCCC